CGTTCTGGGTGGTCCGCTGTGACCCACTGTTCGTCGGCGCACCAGGGTACCAGGGAGCAGCTGCAGGCGGCACCTTCTGCGAAGTAGCCGCAGCGTCCATCGCGTCCCACGCGGCAGGCTGCGCCTAGTGTGAGACAGGGGCGGGCGAACCCGCAGCGTTGGGAGAGAGTGGGGGGCCCGGGATGCGTCTGGAGGCCGCCGCAGGGGAGATGCCGCGAGAGGGGGGGGGGGGGCGCAGTGAGTGCTGCCAGGGGGCGGCTGTCGGCCGCTGGTTGCGGAGAACCTCTGGGCCACCGCCATGTGCGGGAGCGCTTGTCGCCTCTCCCGTCGCCGCTGTAGTCGCCGCCTCGCTTGCCCTCGGTCTGCCAGTCGTCGCCGCCCCAGGCGTGCGACCAGGACCAGGCGTCCCAGCCCCAGGGCTGCTGGGAGGAGCTTGTCGCTCGGCCCTTTGGCTGAAGGGCGCCTTTGCCCTGGCTCCCCGTCCATTCTGTGCGCTCCCCGGTCCCAGTCGACCTGAAGGTCAAGCCGACGATCCATCTCGTAGGCGTCGAACCCACAGCGCTTCCAGGCGTCCAGGAAGTCGCGGCAGGATGCATCGGAGTTTCGAGCGGGGTCGCTTTTCGGCTTGCCTTTGGGTCCCGCGGGGTGCTTCCGGGTGTAGGCGTGCCAGACGCCACTGAATACCCCGCCCAGGACTCTCTGAAGTCGCGTTATCTTGGCTGCTGGTGTCTCGCCGACACTATCGAGCTCAACGTTACCCATCAGTTCCTTGTACGTGCGGCCTCCGTCCACTGGGTCGACGAGGTCGTCGAAGCGTGAAGAATAACTTGGCTCGGCTGTTCCTGGCTGCTCCTGCACTGCGACGGACGCCCCAGCGGGCACCGCGGTGTCACGCCCACCTCGAGTTTGGCGTTCGCCTCAGCTCTAGCTTTCTCTAGCTTCTGCCCCTCTTTCTACTTGTTCAGCCTTCACTGTGGCCTTCACTGTCGGCTTGACATTTGGCTTCAGAATGTGGCTCTAGGTCGAATGCACCAGACTCATGTACCCACTGCTCATTTCTCTAAAGTGCTTACTTTCGGGACGGGGCCGCACGTGCGCGCACATGCCGCACGGTCGCACGCACATCCCCATGCCAGCGCGCGAAGAAGGCTTGATCAGCACAGCTGCAGTGTGAGGGCCCGCGCGGTCACCCGCAGGAAAATCGCACAAGCATGTGCGTGCATGTGCCGCTAAGCGATCTGCGATGTTCGCACGCCTTTAGCATTAAGTCGGGCCTGTCCCCCTACAGGGAGATTGTCGACGAAAAATAAAAAATACCCCAAACATACTCAAAGGATGCTCAAAATTTGTCAAACATAGTCCTCAGGCTATGTTTGGACTATTCCTAAATATTCCCCCTGTAGAGGGACAGGCCCGACTTAACTTTAGCATGTGCAGACGCGTGCGGGCGTGTGCGTCGGCAGGTGCAGACAATCTCGTGCACCGAACGCACGGCACGCGACCCTGCACATGCCCTGGCGCGGATGGACAACAGGACATCCAGCCAAAACAGCTCGCACATGGCGGGCACCTGAGCACATGCTGGGCACATGCCGTGCACATGCAGGCATATGCCTCAGAAGGGTATAGAAAAAAGAGCGCGGTGTCTGTCTTCCACTCCAGCTCTAACGTAGGCTCCAGCCTGCTAGTGCTGGTCGTAGGAGCCGCTCACCAGAGATGTCGCAAAGCAGCGGAGCGACATGTTTGAACTACTGAGATCGCTGCTTTCCCGATGACGCTGTGCAGCGCTGTCCACCGCCATTGGGACGGAGGTTGCACACCTTGCGCAGGAGGCATCGTTGCAACGTGTCCAGGCGATCTGGCGATCGCCCGCGGCTCCTGTTTTCTTACCGCGCCAGCGGCGCCGCCCTTGTCCCCTCGCATCCCGCACAAAGGCTCATGGGCCAAGTCTCGGAGGCAACCGCTACACATCTTCGAACACCTTCTTCACACTTGATTGTCATCTTCGGTTCGGCTCGGTGCTATCGGAGTTCGGCGGAATTCACAACCAACTTATCCTGAAGACCCATGACTGTCGCCCCTCACTTTTGGCGTCACGCCCGTGAGTGCTGCTCCGTTAAGTGTGATCGGGAGGAAGACGAGGAAGAGGAGGAGAACGAAGACGAGGAGGAGGAGGAGGAGAAGGAGAAAAAGGAGGAAGAGGAGGAGGAGGAGGAGGAAGAAGAGAAGGAAGAGAAGGGGGAGAACAAGCACAAAGAGGAGGAGGCTCCGAGGAGGAGGAGGAGGAGGAGGAGGAGGAGGTGAGTGGAGTCGGAGGGCGAGCACGATGACGATGGCAACGAGGAAGAGAACGAGCGGGAAGATGGCGACGGCTACGACGTGCACGGAGGGAGAGAGAGAGAGAGAGAGAGATGAAGAGCCAGACAGGCGAAGAGATGCCCAACCCCCACGAGCGCCGGAATTCCCCGGTGCAGGCCGTGAGGTTCTCAAAGTAGCACTCCTGACGGGATGGGGTACGACAGGTTCGTGTCGTCCCGACGTCGCGTTGGCTTCTGACACGGATCGTTCACCCTGGCTTCTGACGCGGATCGTCTCTGAGCGATCGCGACTTTCCGACAGCGCAGGCTGTTCGCCATCGGCCGATTCCTTAGGCCACCGGCTTTGTTCCGCCTTGAACGCCCGCACTGGGGCCGCCGCCGCGTCGACGCGGCGCGAACCTACCGTATGCTTGGGGAGCGTCAGGGACGAGTGTGGCGAGAGAAGTGGAGGTGAGCGAGGAGGATAAGAAGGATGATGAGGAGGAGGAGGAGGACGATGATGATGAACATGTTTTTCTGATGGTGGTGATTCCCGGAAGGCTCTTTGAGAGCTAAAAGGGTTTCAGATGATAAGCCTGCGGCGCGCGGTAGACCAGCCCGTCTCCAAGGCTCCCGGTCCAGCATCCCCGCAGCGCCTCGCTTGAGATTGCAACGTGTTCCGGCAAGCGTTTTCTTACTCGTTCCCAATACACGTGCCTGAAGCCTTGCCGCAGGTCCTTCGCAGCTCTCTCGGAATTCCTTCGAAGCTCGCTTTTCGAAGCTTGCAAGCTCCCCAAACATGCTTCCCAGCGTCCTGGCAAGCATCTCCTTCGGAGCTTGCAAGCTCCCCAGGCATGCTTTCCAGCGTCCTAGCAAGCATCTCCCACAGGAGCTTTCCTGCAAGCCTCCAAGCTCCCCGGTCAACCTTGCCAGCCAGAGCTGCCGCTCCGGCCTGAGGAGGTCGTAAAACTGCTCCGACCTGAGCAGGTCGTTCAACTGTTCATGACAGCGGCCCCGGGATGAGGTAAACTGCTCCGACCTGCGCAGGTTCCCCCGAAAGCTAAGAGGGCCTAAAAGCCGGCAGCGCAGGGTAGGCCAGCCTCTCTCCAAGGCTCCCGGGCAGGCATCGGCCCGGAGCGGCTTGCTTTAAGCCTGCAACGTGGTCCGGCCCGCCTTCCTACTCGTTCCCAACACGCGTGCCTCAAGCCTTGCCGCAGGTCCTTCGCAGCTCCCTCGAAGATCCTGCGAAGCTTGCTTTCGAAGCGCGCAGGCTCCCCAGGCATGCTATCCAGCGCCCCGGCAAGCGTCTCGCAGAGCGTCTTCTCGCCCTGCAGGCTCTCTGGGCATGCTTTCCAGCACCCTTTGCGCACGTTTCTCCAAAGAAGCACTTTTCGCGCTGTGGGCCGCGCCGCTATCCGGGCTTCGGGCGCCACAAGCGGTGATGATGGTGATGAGGAGGAGGCGGTGGAGATGAGCGCGAGGAGGGTGGCCAGGTGTTGGGGGGGGGGAAAGGGGCGAGCAGGAGAGGGGGGGAGATGAGCCCGAGAGCGGGCAGTGAGAGCGAGGACAGGGGAGCGATGGGCGGGAGGGGGCGACGTCGGCCAACATGGTGGGGATCCCTGGCGGCAGGGGGCCGGGGACGAGAAGACAGAAGGGGGGACCCTTCCCGGTCCCAGTGAGGCGGGGGGAGGAGGCGAAGCATGCGGAGGCGAAGGGGGCACGGTGCAGAGAGCAGCGCCGGAGAGGGCAGAGGGAGGGTGGCAGAACAGAGCAGGTGACCCCCTGTTGCGCACTCCACTGCTCGTTCCCCCTCGCCCCTCCCCCCCTCCCCCCGCCCTTTACGACCACTCGCCGCGCGCGCGCGCCACCCACCCCTCGCCCCCGACGACGCCCCGGCATGCTCCCGACCCCTCCGCCGCAAGGCTCTTGCACACAGCACGTCAGAGGCAGGTCTTTCGCGCGCGCCCTTCCGCTCGGACTTCTCTGGCCTGCGGGTCGAGAGCGGGCCTCTCCCGGCGAAGAGCTGGGCGGGGCGCGCAACGCGTTCCGCTCGGACACGCGTCCTCGGCTTACATAGGGCGACGAGATCTATGCATATCCACTGCTCCTGGCCAGGCCCATCCTGGGCCCAGGAGCGGTGTATATGCCTCCCTGGCCAAGCCAGGAGGGCGTATACACAGCTCTTGGGCCCAGGATTGGCCTGGCCGGGAGCAGTGGATATGTATAGAGATCGTCGCCCTATTACATGGTTCCCATCGCACCTAAGCGCCACATCCCAGAAGCACAACCTCTCGAGCACCCAGAAGCATACCGACACGGCGCCGCACGAGTACCCACCGCCTCCCGGGGCCCCGACGCGCGACCACCTCTGCGGTTTCGGTGCCTCCCTGGCGCCCGAGCCTCTTTTCTGGCGATCCAGGCCGGGGTAGGGCCGAGGGAAACAATTCAGCAACGCTCCCCCCCTCCCCCGCAGCTCGAGGTCGACAGGCTTCCGCGAGGCCGCCCGGAGGCCCCAGATCGGAAGATCCGAAGCCAGCACCGCCTTTGGGGGGAGGGGGGGGGGGGGGGAGGTTCAAACCATCTGTTCTGCAGAAGTGCTGCTCCATTGTGTCCGACACCTGTCGGCGTGGACCTCATTTTTTGTTTGCCTTGTCGCCATGTCGTCTCCGCTCCAGTGCGTCGCTGGCCACGGGGCCTCAACCGCCGCCCCCACAGCTCCGGAACCGGGTACTGCGAGGGCTTTGGTTTTGACCCTTGTACCCAGACCCCCGACGTCATGATTTTTTCATGACGTCGACCCCCCGAGGTCTCGACCCATTCCCCGGGACCGGTTTTCCGTCCTGAGTCGTTTTTTGACGGTCCCGAGGGCCGGCAAGGGCCCCCAAAGGCCAAAAACAGTGAAAAAAAACCCGTCGTGATTTTTTCATAACTCGAGGGGGTCTGGGTAGGCTGGGACCTCAGGATCACCCTCGGCCGCTCCGGAGGCGCGGCGCCCTCGCCTCGCCTCGCCTGCCCCCGCGGCTGGGGCGCAGGCGAGGCCCTCCGGGGCGAGGGCGGCCTCCGAGGCGCGCAGCTCCGCGCGGGCCGCGGGGAGGCCAGCGCCGCGCGCGCACGCCGGGTGTTTGAAGGCGCCCTGGGACTCGCAAGTTAAATACACACAAATGAAAATATGTTCCCATACTTTCTGGGCCTTCGTCTTCCCCCCCACACTTCCCATACCTTCCCATGTTCTCTGGGGGATCGCCGATGACTTGTGTCTGTGTGCTTCCTCTTCTTCTCCTGGGTGCGGGGAGGCTCCGTGGGCCCGAGGTCCACCCCGCCCGACGCTGGCCAGGCGGGTCCTGGGCCCAAGACCGGCGCTCCCTGGCCAGGCTCGGGAGCGGCCAAGAGGGGGGTGTCCAAGAGGGGGGGGGTGCAAATCATGACGGGCGGCATGTGCGCGGCCCAGCGGGGGGGCCAGGGACGTCATGAAACGAGGAGAGGCGCCCCGAAATCTGGGGAAATATCATGGCCCACGTCATGATATCCACCCCCCCCTTAGTCATCACCCCCCTCTTTGCCGCCCCCTGGCCAGGCCAGGAGGGCGCGTGCCCGGGTCCTGGCCCGGGGATCGGCCCAGCCGGAGCCGGCGCGGGCTGTGCCGGACGAGTACACAAAAAGAGCGCACGCAAGCCGAACAGAGGATCCACAAGTCATACTTCACGACATCGGCCCGCGTGGACTCTTCCTCCTCCTCCTCCTCCTCCTCCTCCTCCTCCGCCTCCGCCTCCGCCTCCGCCTCCGCCTCCGCCTCCGCCTCCGCCTCCGCCTCCGCCTCCGCCTCCTCCTCCTCCTCCTCCTCCTCCTCCTCCTCCTCCTCCTCCTCCTCCTCCTCCTCCTCCCTCCCTCCTCCTCCTCCTCCTCCTCCTCCCCCTCCTCCTCCTCCTCCTCCTCCTCCTCCTCCTCCTCCTCCTCAAGTCATACTTCACGACATCGGCCAGCGTGGACTCCGAATCGATGCGACGACTCAGAACAAGGGACCAGAGGAAGCGAGCATGCTCGGAATCCGCAGCTCGGCACGCAAGTGTGCAGGCAAGCGCGCAAGCAAGCACACACAAGGGGGGGGGGGTCATTGGGAAAGGGGGGGGGATAGGCACAGGCATAGGCATAGCCATAGGAATTAGGGGGGGGGCATACGAATTGGGGGGGGGGCAACGGACCAATGAGCAAGGTTTGAGCTAGGACTCCTACAGGGCAAGCCTATTTGGAGAACATCTGGGCCAGTTTCCGGGAAGTTTCTCAAAACAAGCCTGGACCGAACTGTGTTCTTGACGCTGGAGGGCGGACGTGTTCAAAAATCTGGGCCAGCTTTCCGGCAAGTTGGTTCAGAAACGCTGGCGCAGCTTTTCGGGACGAGGCTTAAGTCGGGCCCGCCCCCCTACAGGGGGAACTTCGACGAAAAATGACAAATATTCAAAACATATTCCAAAATGGTGAAAAAATCTTCCGAAAATAATCCCCCGATTATTTTTTGATTATTTGGGAATACTCCCCCCTGTAGAGGGACAGGCCCGACTTAAGACGAGGCTTCTTAACCATGTGCTCGACCGCCACCGCGTGCCGGCGCGGAGCTCTCTCGGGTCGGTGCCGGACCCTCCCCAGTCCTCCTCCCGCCCCTGGGCGCGGTGCGCGAGGGGGGGGGATGGGGGGGGGGGGGCAGGCGAGGGCCCCTCCGAAAGTGTGCGTTTTTATGCCTTGTTCGGGCGCGCGCTTAACGTGGATCAGTGTCAGGTCGGGCCTGTCCCCCTACAGAGGGGATTTTGGACGAAACATAAAAAAAATACCCCCAAAAATGCCCCAAAAAGATGCAGAAAAATGGTCAAAACATAGTCCCCAGGCTATGTTTTGACTATGTTTGAATTTCCCCCCTGCAGAGGGACGGGCCCGACTTAAGATTAGTGCTCCGTGGATCCGGTGCGCTGGCGCAGGATCCACGGATCGGGGAAGGCAGCCCCGAAACACGCGGCCGACGTCGCCCGATGCGGCGACGGAGGATGCCGATTCCATACGGAGGCGGGACCCGTCGCGACTCCACGCGTCGCCAAGCCATGTCTGCGGCTCCCTGACATGCTGCGTTGGTTGTTCTCCAGCGGGCCGCCTCTGCCCCCCCGTGGGAAACCAGCGCGCGGGCTGCCGCGCGGCTCCGCCTCTGGGCCCGCTGCCC